CGGCTCTCCATTTCTCGGCATCGGGTCCGCTGAGGGCTTGGCGAACAGTGGTGGGCTCCACCAGCTGCTGGTTACCCCGGACGGCGACGGCGAGACCGAGAATGCGAAGACCGGTAAGGTTGGATCCGGCTGCATTGGTTACTTCGACGACGTCGTCGTCGTCGTCGCCAGGGATGTCGTGAATCGTGTCACGGGAGGAGTCGCGAATTGGGTCTTCGTCCATGGGTGAGTGCATTTCTTCACTGGTGTAGTCAAATTGGGCCTGTACTGCTTCGCGGGAATCAGTGTTGGTTGGGAAGAAGGTGGGTGTTTCGAACTGCTCCGTAACGGGTACAAAGGGTGTGTTATCTGTTGCTTCGTTGTCCGGCTGTTCTCCTGCCACGTCGATGTCATCCTCGTCATTGGCGTAGCTGTGCTGTCCCTGAAAAAGGTTGTCTGGTGCTTCTTGTGCAGTGCGGTGCTGGCGGTACAGTGGCAGGGTCAGTCTTTCGTAGAAGATGCAGTCACGTGAACGCGTGAGCTGGTGGGTGGCGAAGTCCAAAATTGTCCAGGCGTGATATTCGGATTCGATTCCGAGGTGAATGCCCCAGCGGGCACGGTCTTCAAATTTTCCGGTTCGGGCAGTGTGGGGGCGGTACTGTACCATGCACCCGAAGACTCGCAGCATGCGGGTGTCGGGGTGTTTTCCGGTCCACTCCTTGAAGGGCGAACTGTTGTTGGGCAGGGCCTTCGAGGAGAGCATGTTGTGCAACCGAACTGCGTGCGCCATGGCATAGGGCCAATACTTGGTTGGCACAGCGGACTGCTTCATGAGGGCTCGCATTTTTGTCGCGAGGCTCCTGTTGGTTCGCTCGGCCAAACCCTGCTGCTCGTGAGCGTAGGGAAGTGAGATCATCCTCTTGATGCCTTTCTGCTTGCAAAGGTTCTTGAAGTCCTCTGACATGTACTCCAGGGCTCCGTCTGTCTGGAAGCTTTTCACCTTGTAGCCGTTGCTTTGGGCTTCTGCCATGCTGAGCCAGACCCCGAAGCACTGGTAGGCGAGGTAACGGTCGCTGACGTTTACGGCCCAGACGAAGCGTGTGCCTGCATCGATGAAGGTAAGTGTATACTGCTCCCCACCGACTCCTTTTGCAGTAAGCACCAGGAAGTCGCTGTAAATCTTCTCCAGCGGTTTGTAGCGTTCGGCTCCAGGAATCTTTTCGGCGAAGGGCGTGTGACGGAGCGCGGCTACTGGGCAGACAGAACAGTTGGGTAGGTCGGTTCTTGGTTTCAGCAGTTTTCCGTCTGGCAGCAACAGTGCGTCTTCCGCAAAGACTTTTGCGTTGATGCAGTTGTTGAGCACCTCGATTGATGGGTGACCCATGCGTTGATGCCAGATGTCACCGTCAGCCCGGTATCCCTTGGTGCGAGCGTATAGCTCCTTTTCCCGTGCTAAGATCTCCTCTGCGGTTATCCTCCTGGTTTCTTCCGCAGGTTCGTCGGGCACGGTGACGTGGACCGCTGCTGCTTGGATTGTTGCGCCGTGATACGTCCCGCCGGTATCGCCGATGGTGACAGTGTCGATCGTCACCGGCAGCGTCGGCGGTTGTTCAGAAGATGAGGACGAGGTCCGCTGGTGGCGATCGTCGGGCTGTGTGATCTCCCCTTCTTCGAAGGGTGTGTCGCCGATCGCCACTCCCCTTGTCTCGAGGCGGAGGTAGTCTCTGCCGTCGGTTGTGATGGGAAGCAGGTGAGGTCCGTACTCCGTCAGTAGCTCTTCTTCTGCTTCAGGTGCTTTTTCTGTTACTTCTGGTAATTCTACTGCTTCGGTTGCCTCTGCTGCAGGTTCTTCGGCGGTGGTTCCCCATCCTGACGTCTCTGCTTCCACGGCTTCTCCCAGCGCGGTGTTGTCGATGACCCAGCGTACGTCGACCGCGTCCCACCCTTGAGTGGTGTTCCAGCCAGCAGGGTGAGCGACAGATGGCCAGGTTTGTTGCAGGACTTCTGCTTCTTCAGTTTCGGTCGTTGCGATTGCTGTGTCTGACGTGTCTTCTTCTCCTTCTTCCACTGCTTGCGTTCCTGTGCTTCCAGGATTTGTGGTTGAAGCGACGGGCACGGCGAGAGCGCGGAAGGTACCGTCGAGGCCAGGCCGCTGGTAGTCGGTCTCCTCAGGATGACTCCATTGTGGCGGCGACGGGTGTCCAGGTGGGTCAAGGACGAGGATATGCTCGTTGTCTCCAGTGGTTTTTGGTGACTCAAAGTCAAGCACGAACACTCCTTCCCGATGAAAATCCCGTTGTAAATCAAGTGCATCTCGTCTTCTGTTGTTTCCAGGCCGACTCCGCACTTCATCAACTGGTGGAGCGACAGAAGGTTGTACCGAAGCTCAGGTACAACAAGTACGTCGCTGATGTGGATGCAGTACCCGGTGTCGTTGGACTCCAGCTGGATCTGCCCGTGGCTATTGGCGTAGATGGTCTGACTGTTGGCAACAGTGATCTCTACTTCGTTGAAGAGCCGTTCACTGTTGAGGATGAAGACGTCCGACGACACCATGTGCTGTCCGCAACAGCTATCCAGGTACCAGGTGTTGATTTCTTTTCTTGCCTTGGCGAGGTTGGCGAGCCTTGGAGTGATGTGATGCTCCATGTCGCGCTCGTGCTCGTAATCGTATGTAAAATCCTTGTCTTCGTATGCCTCGCGTGCAGGTGGTGACTCCTGGATCCAAGGCGGCATTTCCCAATCATGCTCCATGCGGCCAACTGTCAGCTCGTCGTATGTTGGGTCGTTTTCCTCCTCGTCTTCGACTGACCCTTCAGGACGCCCTTGCGGCGGGTCTGCGAACATGTCTTCCCAGCTCCGGAAGAAGCGGTAGTGTCGGTTCGGGCGAGGTGGACCTCGTCGAACCATGCAGGTTAACACCTTGCTCTTGCCTTTATCGGTTGTGTTCGCAGAGACGCGCGCCGGAGCTTGGGATGTGCTTGCGACGGCAGGTGGCGATACGGTCTGATTGCGCACTGGAGTCCTTCCTTGCTGGTGAGAAGCGGCTCCCTTCTGGTTGTTGTTGTTGCCGTTCAGCTTCCAGCAGTCTTGGATTGTGTGTCCAGTCTTCTTGCAGTACTTGCAGAAGAGTCTTTTCTTGTCTGGTGGCGCTTGTGCGTAGAAAGCGATCTTCTCCTTCTTGTTGCCTCTCTCGTTGTACAGGTCCATTTCCTTCTGCTCGGAGAGGAGCGTTGAGCAGAGGGCGGTTTCGCTGACGGTCCCTTGAGTGCGAAGGAGCGACTTGCACTGGCGCCATTCCGGGCTCAATCCAGCGAGAATGATTGTGACGAACATGTCGTCAGGGAAGTTTCCGCCGCTTTTCCTGAATTGGTCTCTCAGGTTTCTGCAGCGGTTGATGTAGGATCCGGCCTTTTCGCCGGGAAACATCTTGACATTGTTCAGCTGGTTGAGCAGGCGACTGAGCGTCACCGAATCTGTTGCCATGTGGCAGGTGCGCAGGTGTTCCCAGGACTGTTGCGCGGGTGCCCATTCGTTCTTGAATGGACGGATGCTCAGCTGTTCTTCAGGCGACAGGTTCCGGATCAGGACGGTGAAGGCCAGGAGAGATTCGTTGTAGTACTGCGTCTTCTCCTGAGGTGAGCCGTTGGTTGGGAAGGGGTATGAACCGTCGTAATACATCCAGATCTGGGCGCCTTGAGCTAGTAGTTCGCTCCAATTCGAAGCTCCAGGTATAGAAATCTTGTCCGTCGAACGGTTTTGTTGTCTTGAGCTTTGACGTGGACAGGAACTTGCTCTGCATTGACGCCACTGTCTCGAGATGCGTCTGTTGTGCTTGAGCAGGTCCTGGAGCTCCGCGATTGTCGAAGGTGAAGGATCGTTCAGATCCAGCTCCTTGAGGATCGGGAGGTCTTCGGGCGTAGCTGGAGCCGTCAATGCTCATTGGCTGATGGCTCTCCAGTGCGCTGATGCGGGAAATCAGCTGCTCGAGGAGTGCTGTGTCCACGGTTGTTGTAGTAGAGATAGCATTAGTGAACGGATGTACTGGATTCTCTCCAGTTTCTCCGCAGTCGGCGCCTGGCATGTTTGCTTGCCCTTGTAGTAAGTTATATGAAGAGTTACCTTCTGAGAAGAGGTCATTTTAGCAGTTCCTATAATCCAAACTGGCTCTCATACCATGCTAGAGTGAGGATCTTTGGATAGGATAGGAAGTGCTCTGAGAGAATTGGTAGCGGAAGTCTTGGTAGGAACCCTTGATCATAGTGAATGTAAATGAAAAGGTTGATTGATTGATAGAATACAAGCAAGATAAATAGTCCTAACTAGCCATGTACTCTAAGGGGTACATTCCCTTATTATAACTGTTTTACAGGCATTACAACAGTGACTATGGCTATTACATTTCCTTTCTTGTTACCGAGTCGCTGCTTGTAACCGTGCGTACGATTACGCCTGTTGCCATTCCACGATAGTAGGTCAATCGTCGGTCCAGATAGTCAACAGTCGCGACAGTTGACTCTTGCGACTGTTGACTTTCCTGCCTTGATATAGGCTGATCCGACATTTGCTGTTCGCGCTGCTTCGATGGTGGCAGGTGCGATGTTGCTGCACCTTCGGGAATGCTTACGATTCCCTTCATACTCCAACATATCATATCAGACCGACCACAGAACCAATCATCACCCCCACCCACTTGTCTTATGTGACCCACACCATGAGGCAATCACAACACAACTCATATCCTTTTTGAATAAAACCCATTTTCAGCCACACGCATTTTTCCTCTCCCTACACTCGCATCAGCGGACACAGTACGGTAGATGAGAGGAGTTTGGTTGATGGGTCGAATCAAAGAAGTACATCAGGAGAGGACCAGGACCATGCCAAGGTGGTCCGTGCTGTGACACTACGCGTTTTTGCTACTGATGGCAACAGTAGTATATGTGACTTATGGAGCTTCGTCCAGAGTTTATTACATGCTTTTGAGTGCTGTGTGCGAGTGCTTTGTGTTGTTGTGGGTGTCATAGAAGCTTCAAGTGGCCTGTGACTCCGCTCACTAAGTGCTCCGGACCTGTGCACATGGTGGTGAATGCAGTGCGAGAGGGAGGGAAGGCAAGGGAGAGAGAGGGTGAGGGAGGGAGAGGGAGAGGGCGGGAGAGAGAGGGAGTGGGAGGGAGAGGGAAAGGGAGGGTAAGGGGGGGGGAAAGAGGGGAGAGGAAGGGTGAGAAAGGGAGGGGGAGCAAGAGAGGGAGGGAACGGATAAAAAAATGCTGCTTGTGCTTTTCTAGGGAATGGATTGGAGGTATGCAAGGCATTGAAGCAACGCGAGGAAAGAGTTTCGATGGGTCATGCTATATCGGCTATTTCATATGCGACCTGCCATGGAGCATCACTAGCAACCATGGCATGCTCGCTCTCCCAACCAACCACTCACCGATGATGGCCATGACTGTCTTTGAATCTGCATGCACAGAGTTATTCACAGGCAAGAAGGGCAGGCAGAGGGGGGGGAAGAGGGGCGGGAAGAGGGGCAAGCAGAGAAAAAGGGGAGTATCCCAGTGAGTGGCGCAGTGACATGGATGTGAGCTTGAAAACGGGGGGCGAATGGGGTGCATGATCAAAGCGGCGAGAGTGAGTGGGCAAGAGTGAGTGGTGCGGAAGTGAGTGAATGAGGCAGAGGAAGGAGAGCATACTGGGCTCGATCTGTGTTCTGCCAGCGTCGATTGTGATGTGCGTTGGCAGGCCAGACTTCTTTGCCTTGTCCTGGGCAGAGTGAGGGAGCACGCATTTGATGGGATGGGATGGGGTGGGATGGGATGGGATGGGATGGGATGGATGCAGATCACTCCATGATTGTGGATTCTGGACATGAGCTCCATCAGAGCACATGAGCTCCGAGGGAATGCAACATTGCAACAACGGATGGGAAAGGCGGTCGGGTGAAGTGAAGAGGACAGAAAGAAAGGAAGGGAAACAAGAAAGGGAGGTAGGGAGGAAGGGAGGGAGGGAGGGAGGGAGGGAGGGAGGGAGGAAGGAAGGAAGGAAGGAAGGAAGGAAGGAAGGAAGGAAGGAAGGAAGGAAGGAAGGAAGGAAGGAAGGAAGGAAGGAATCAAGCAAGCGAGTAAGGAAGCGAGGGAGGGGGAGGGCAAGGCAAGGCAAGGGCACCTGCAGAATGATGAACTCTCCCTCTGAGTCCACCTTCACGTGTAATGAATCGTGTATTAAGTCGACTCAAAAAGCAAGGAAGGGGGACAAGGCAAGGCAAGGCGAGGCGAGGGCACCTGCAGAATGATGAGCTCCTCCTCTGAGTCCACCTTCACCACCACCTTCACCTGCCCGTTCTCGTCCCACCTGCATGCACAGCACGCAGGGCATGCCGGGCACGCAGGGCACGCAGGGCATGCAGGACACGCGGGGCACGCAGGGCATGCAGGGCATGCAGGGCACGCAGGGCATGCGGCGCGGGGCACACGGCACAAAAAAAAAAAAAAAGGGTCAGGGGAAGGCACTGTGCAATTGCGAGTGCCATGGATGAGCGATACGTTGGAGAATGACGTGGGGTCCGAGCAGGGCGAAGGGGACGGGGAGGGAGGGAGGGAAGGAGGGGGGATGGAAGGAAGAAGGGAGAGGGGGAAGGAGAGCGGTAGCGAAGGCAGGGAGGAATGCATGGGGGGAGAAGCGGAAAGGGGGGGAGAGGCGAGGCATGGAGGATGAGGAGCAGCAGAGGGCAGCATAGAGCAGCAGAGAGCAGCAGAGAGCCGCGTACCTTTGCAAGGCTGTGGGTGCTCTCTTGGCGAGTCTCTTGTACAGGCCGAGTGTGGCGTGGCTGGTGGGGGAGCGCAGAGGCAGAGAGAAGAAGAGGGCAACTGGGACGAAGATGGAGGTGGCGTGGAGAGGTAGAGGGAGAGGAGGAGACGGCATGGATGGGATGCAGGAAGGATGTGTGACGGGAGATGGGAGAAGTGGGGGGAACGATAGAGATGTGGTTAGGGAAATCAGAAGCGAGCTGGTGTGAGAATGGAAGCTTGGTTCGACATGCGTGCTGGTCTGCCTGCCATTGAATTGCTGCCTTTGCGTGTGGGTGGGTGGGTGGGTTTTGCTTGGACGGCAAGAAGGCAGGCGGGAAGGAGGGAGGGAGGAGGGATGGTGAGTGTGGTGTGGGGACGTCTTACCCGCACTGCGCGCCGATCTTGCCCTTGCCCATCTTCAAGTCGCTCCGCACCACGAGCACCTGCAATCCCAAGGCCCGCACACGGCCACGTGACGCCACGTCAGGGAATGACAGGACATGGTGCGTGGAGTGTGGTGTGGTGTGGTATGGAATGTTATGATTATGAAATAGTATGGCTGTTAAGGCATAGCGTGGCGTGGCATGCGATGGCATGAATGGTGCACTATGGACGGACAAAAAGAGAGACACGCGCACGGGCGGCTCATTTGAATCGCTGGAATGGGTTGCTGGTCGGATAACTCCAAGTCACCTCGCATAGCCAGCTAGACAAGTTCGCGATATGTCAGCCTGCGCTCTTCCACGCACGGCACACACGCAGCACACGCACGGCACGCGCACTGCACACGCAAGGCACGCGCACGGCACACGCACGGCACGCGCACGGCACGCGCACGGCACACGCACGGCACGCGCACTGCACACGCACGGCACAGGCACTGCACGCGCACGGCACGCGCACTGCACGCGCACAGCACGCGCACTGCACGCGCACGGCACGCGCACGGCACACGCACCATCTTGAAGTCCTCGAATTCCTGCGCCATGCTATCCAGCTCCAAGAGCGCGCCCCCCTTTCCCCCTTTGCCCGAATTCTTCCCGCCAGCCCCCGCGTTGTCCGCGTGCCACGCTTGTAGCTCCAGCAACGCGCGCCGCCATCGAGTGGAGGAGATTAAATGGCCGCAGAAACAGCCCGCTGCGAAAACGCCGACTCCAGCCGCCGCCAGCAGCGGCCAATTAGACGACATAGCGCGAAAGCAAAGCTGCGCGCCAAAGGCTTCTGAGATTCGCTAAAGATGGAAGTTATGACGTGGCTGGAGCTGTTCAGGCTGCTGATCGGAAAAATCGTGATCGAATGGGATCTGCGGTAAAGGTTGTCCGCACTGCCTTGATCACGATAGTCAGCCGTGCCTTACGCCTTCCGATTCGTGGAAGGATCGAAAGTGGCGACTCGGGAGGCGAGGACGGCAAGGGGTGCTGCAATTCCTTGGAAGCAACCGCTAGGGCTCCAAACCCGAAACCCTCCAATAGAAAAGAGGGGTTTGATGTGGCACCTTTGTTACAGGTGTATAGATATTTCAATTAGTGTTTCCACTGAAAGCGCCTAAACGGGCCGATATTAGAACGGTATATTCTGACGCCACAAAGTGGGCTCCACGTGGACGAACGCGTGGACACACACAGACCCTTGCCTCCAGGGATCTCTCATTCTCGTCCAACAGTCAGCTTCGTCAACCCGAACCACTCTTCGTCGCCACCTTGTCGCTGTTACTTGGTTGTGGCAGCTTCGCCTCATCAATGTTGTCGGGACTTCAGCGACCAAATGCAAATTTTGCTCGCCTCAACGAATCACAAACGACGGCATCTCTGGTTTGTTGCTTAGAAACAGTTTCGTCCACCAATCTTGTGCTTCAAAAAGCCTCATATCAGATCAGCGGTGCGGGCCGCTTTCGCACATGTAAACCGCCCCACATCACATCATACCGACTCCCGAGCCTGCATAAGCACCATTTCTCGATTCAGTCGCGACTTCAGCCAGTCGCATTGGTGCCTCACTCTTGCCCCTGCAACTGCCACTGCAGACCTATCTTTCACCACACACGAACTGCACCTTCAGCTCCGCCGCCTGCGCCGTGCCGCCCGCACACGTCACACCGACCTCTGCTCGCGCTTATTGCATCGAGAAAAATACTATTCTTATAGCTTCTTCGATCATCGCTGTGAAGTAGAGCCCGTAGTTTACAATACACTCGAAATGAGATAATTCAATTCTCTGATAACCAAGGGGTGGCATTTCCGCCCGCCCACCATGCGCAGCCCCGCCGCGGCTGGGTTGTTCCCCCAGCCATCCCCGCATCTCGCGCAAACCGTCGCAAATGCCACCTCCGCCGTATTGCAAAGCGCAATTATCACCGCTAACTCCGCATTACTCCCACTGCCGACCACGCCGTCATCGATATTTCCGCCACTCATCTCCAGCGATGCGGGCGCAGGGGAAGCCATCGTCGGCGGAGGGGAAATGGGGGGAATAGGGGGGATTGCGCGAATGGGGGGAGTGACGGGGGCGGCGGGCGGGGACGAGGACATGGCGCGCGCGATGGAGAGCCTGATTCCCGCGCTATGGCAGTCGTTCGCGGTGATTCTCATCGGATACGCGTGCGTGAAGCTGGAAGTGGTCAAGCCGCAGCACAAGCAGGTACGATGTTTCCTTTGCCTCCTTTGCCTCAATCCTCCCCACACTCCGCGCCCATCGTATCTGCGCGCTCGTACCCCGAACATTCTCTCTCTCCTTCCCTGCCCCTCCCTCTCCTCCGCCCACGCCCCTAACTTCCGCTGTCGCCATGGGGTCCGTCCTGGTGGTTTAACTGAATGGGCTGTGCTTGTGTCACTTTTGCGAATTCTCAGAACTGGTAATCTGTGTGATTCAGAGAAGACACAGTAAAGCCAGAAGTTAGCGCCGCGCTTCCCTCCTATACATCCCACGTCTTGCACAATCGCGTTGTGCGTTCACCCTTCTCTCTCAAGACTGCTTTACTTTTGCGGCCACATCTTCAACTCTTCCCCCTGCCGTTTCCCCACGCCCCCCGCCGCTGCCGCCACCACCACCACGGGCACCACGGGCAGGGTCTGTCGCTGTTTGTGACGAAGCTGGCGCTGCCGGCGCTGCTGTTCTCGGGCATGGCGTCGCTGGACTTCTCCAAGGTCAACTGGTCCTTCCTCCTCGCCGTCACCATCGGCAAAACCGCCGTCTTCTTCCTCGCCCTCGGTGCGTGCTTGCACGCGTGTGTGTGCCTGCTTGCATGCGTGCTTGCGTGCGTGCATGCATCCATGCGCGCATTCGTGCGTGCGTGTGCTCCCTGGGCTCCGCTTCTAGTGCTTACTGTGCTGAGTTCCGCTGTGCTGTGCTCCCGTGCTGCTCTAAACGGTTTGCCCTCCTTCGTCCTGGTCCCCGACACTACGCACTGACATGCGTGAAATGATGGCACACAATGCAATGGCATGATGGCATGGCGTGGTATGGCATGGCATGGCATGGCATGGCATGGCATTGCATTGCATGGTATGGGATGGCATGGCATGGCATGGCATGGCATGGCATGGCATGGCATGGCATGGCATGGCATGGCATGGCATGGCATGGCATTGCATTGCATGGTATGGGATGGCATGGCATGGCATGGCATGGCATGACATGGCATTGCATGGTATGGGATGGCATGGTGTGGCATGGAGCAGGCATCACGATGCTGCTGGACATTGGAAAGCCGCAGGTGGTGGGCACGGGAGCGGTCAACGGCATCTTCGTCTCCCAGTCCAACGACTTCGCCCTCGGCCTCCCCATCTTCCAAGTACGTTACTTCCCCTTCTTCCCCACACACTCTCTCACTCCCTTGCCCGCCCGCCATCCACCCATCATTCAGCGTCGAATACCACTCACATACTCCCTCCTCTTACACCCTCGCTCTGTCTAATCCTCCTCCCCTGCCTCCTGGTCCAGACAGATTTCTCATCCCCTCTCCTTATCCTCCTTCTCTCGTGCCCATTGCTCCTCTCCGCACATTCATCCGTCCTTGCCCCCCAATCAGCCCATATTCGGCGAGCTGCACCCAGAGTACATCTGGTACCTGTACCTCGTAGTGCCCGCCCATCTCGCTCGTCTTCTGAGTCGACTCAAAAGTCACCTCTCTTTCTCACCCCACCACCACCACCACCCCTCCATCCTCCCGCCCATCAGCCCATATTCGGCGAGCTGCACCCAGAATACATCGGGTACCTGTACCTCGTAGCGCCCATCTCGCTCGTCTTCCTCAACCCTCTCGGCTTCCTGCTCATGGAGTCAGACCGAAAGAACGGAGACTCAGGGGAGGAGTGGGAGGATGAGGAGTACGAGGAGGGGCGGGAGGAAGGGGAGGAGAGGGTAGGGGGGCGTGGGGTGCGGGATGGGAGGGAGGGGGATAGGGATCCCTGGGAGTGCTGTGACCTTGTGCCTGAAGGGGAAGAGGCTGCTCTGATGGCTCTTGAGGAGGAGGAGAGGGAAGAGAGGCGTGGAAAGGAGGCTGTGCGTGATAAAGGGAAGGAGGAGGAAGAAGAAGAGAGGGGAAAGGAGGCTGTGCGTGAGAAGGGAGAGGAAGATGGGGGAGGGGAGAGCGCTGAAGTGGAGGAAAGGAAAAGACTGCTTCCCATCAGTTCCACTTCAGGTTCTGGTTCCGGTTCTGGTTCGGGATCTGGTACAAGAAAGGGCGCTTCAGCAGAGCGGGCTTCTGTGCCCAGTCATGCTGGTTCACCTCCTCCCACTGCCCCTTTTCTGAAAGACACTTCCACTGTAGCTACCACTGCTGCTGCCACTGCCACTGCTGCCACTGTGACTGCGGCTGCTTCTCTCTCTGCATCACCACCGAACTTAGACGATGCAAGGAACGCCCAAGGTGATTCTATGACCAGCAAAGCAGGAGACGGAGGAGCAGGAGGAAGTGGTGGAGGAGGGGGAGTGGTGGCAAAAGGAGCGACTTTGAGGGTGGGAAGTAGTCTGGGGAAGAGAGAAGGTGGTTCAGCCGCTGATGCAACCACCGCCGCCGCTGCTGCTGCTGCTGCTGCCACTGCAGCTGCTGATGGGGCGAGTGGCGCTGGTGCAATCCTTAGCAGCAGCAGCAGCAGCAGCATGAGCCGCAAGAGCAATCCATCTCACCACGTCCGCTCCCTCAGCGGCTCAGGCTCTCGCAGCAGCAGTACAGCTCTCCCTCCCCCCTCGCCCTTCATTGCTGCCTCCCCCCCCAAATCCCTCCGCTCCTCCCTCCTATCCCCCTCCCTCCTCTCCCTTCCTCCACCTCCTCAGGCTCCCTCCCTCCCCCATCCACCACCCACCACCCTCTCCCTCTCCCCTTCCCCGTCCACATCCGTTGCTCCTGTACACGCCTCGCTTGCCCCCTCGCCGCTGTCCCGCGTGCTGCCCTCACCCCTTGGGCCCCCGTCTCCTGTTGCCGCTGCTGGTGGTGCGGGCGTGAGTGGTGGCGCGGGCGTGAGTGGTGGTGTGGGAATGAATGGTGGTGTGGGGTTGAGCGGTGGTGGGGATGGGGGAGGGGAGGCAGGGAATTTACCACAGGGGTGGACGAGGAGGGCGTATACAGGGAAGCTTGCGGGTGGTGGCAAGTCAGTGGGGGCGCTTAGTGGGAAGCGGAAGGGGAGGGCTGTGCGCAGCCACGTGCGGCTGTGGAAGGTGCTGTACGGGGTGTTTGCATCGCCCGTGGTCTTCATGGTGAGACTGAGAGCTGGGGAGATGCTGTGCGTGTGGGTTTGCATGTGTGTGAGTGTGCACGTGCGCCTTTGGAAGGTGCTGTACGGGGTGTTTGCATCGCCCGTGGTCTTCATGGTGAGTCAGCTCTGGAGGGACGCTCGTGCTTGGCTCGTGCTCGTTCATGGTGAGTCATCCTTACTCCACCCCGCGCTCATTCAACCTCCCACCCTCAATCTCCCAAACCCCAAACCCTCTCTTTCTGTCTCTCCTCCCAAGCTCTCTCTGCTGGTCCTGCACCAATTTCTCTGCCACCCTTCCGCCCCTCATCGAACTACGCCCCAACTGCCCCTGTCTGCCCGCAGGTGCCTCTGGGTCTGGCTGCTAATTATCTTTTTAACCACGACATCCCACCCTTGCTCTCAGGCCCGTTTCAGGTATGCCTCCCCGCGCATGACCTATCTAACATCTCACCCACGCATGACCTATCTAACATCCCACCCACGCATGACCTATCTAACATCCCACCCACGCATGACCTATCTAAGATCCCACCCACACATGACCTATCAAACCCCCATGCTTTTCATGCCACACATACACTCTCATACATGCACAGGTAGTGTCTACCCATCCCACCCAGCACACATACGCATTCACGCACACGCAGTCACACACACACGCACAAACACCCACACCCACACACACACACTCACTCACAGTCATTCAGAAACACCTCCCCTCCCCCAAGCGCATCCCCACACCCTTCCCACTCCCCCCTTAAACCCTCCACCTCTGATCACTTGGAGCAGCCTTACCACTGCTCTCACTCTTCATCCTTGTGAGCAATTTGCAAGAATTTCTAAATCGCCTTCCCTTTCCCCCTTACCCCTCTCTCACCTGCAGTCGTTCGGAGCGGCCTTCTCACCGCTCTCGCTCTTCATCCTCGACCATGGACATGCCGAGGATGAAGACTGAGAAGAGCGAGATGCCCAGGATGAAGAGCGAGATGAGACTGAGAAGGCATCAGACAAGCCCACCCGCCTGAGCGTTTCAGACATCCCCAAACCCCCCCACACCCTTCTCCACCCCTCCATACCCCTCACCAGTCATTCGGAGCGGCCTTCTCCCCCCTATCGCTCTTCATCCTGGGCATGTCCATGGCGGACGAGACAGAGAAGGCATCAGACGAGCAGACTCGCCTGGGCCCACTCCTCCTCTCGCTCGCCCTCGTGGCCGGCAAATGCCTCGTGCTGCCGCTGCTCATCCTGCTGCTCCTCGCCTCCTTCCAGGGTACGGACGAATCTATTCTTGAAGGCCTGGAAGAACCCGAGTCGCCCTAAAATAGCATCCTGCTGCTCCTCGCCTCCTTCCAGGGTACTTACCAACGCACGGAGGGAGCTGTGATGAGCTGTGATGAGCTGTGATGAGCTGTGATGAGCTGTGATGCGCGTGATGAGCTGTGATGAGCTGTGATGAGCTGTGATGAGCTGTGATGAGCTGTGATGAGCTGTGATGAGCTGTGATGAGCTGTGATGAGCTGTGATGAGCTGTGAGACGTCGTTTCAAAACATGGAGCCCTTCTTGTCGAATCAATTCTCACCGAACCCATGCTCTGGCATGTATGTGAATTTCACGGATCAAGTTCAGGAGGAGGAGGAGGAGGAGGAGACGTGTCAAACCCCAGTTGCACAACTTCTAGCATGCTGGGAGTTACACAACTCCCCAGTTGCACTCCTGACACAATAGAGTCTTGAAAATCTGTGGTACCTCCTCCTTTTACACCAACACCCGCGCCTCCTCCCACCGACACCTCGCAGTAACACATACCCTTCCTCCGTATTCTCCCTTTTTCCTCCCCCTCTACCCCAACGGCAGCGGACGACACATCGCTGTCCCTGGCAGGGCTCATCTATGGCAGTCTACCTGTCACGCCAGCCACCTTCTTCTTTGCCTGTGAATACGGTCAGTAACTCACTCTCCCACCTCGCCTCGCCTCGCCTCGCCTCGCCTCGCCTCGCCTCACCTCACCTCACCTCACCTCACCTCACCCCATCTCGACCCACACTGCTGTCTTGTGCGTGCCAGCCTCTTGTGCATCAAATCACCACGGCCAAAGCCACTTGGGTGCTTACTCTCGCCTCTCCCTGCTTGCTTCTTTTACCCCTCCCCTCCCTCCCTTCCCCTCCTCCTTCTGCTCCGCCCGCAGGTCTGTGCCAGTCGTACCTACTCATGGCGACAGTTTTTTAGGCGCCTCAACACCTCTCCCCTCTTATGTACCCCTTCCACCCCCCGTCTTTGAAATTTCCCAAAAACCACCTCCAAACCTCTCCCCTCTTATCTACCCCTTCCTTCCACCACCCGTATCCCCCGCAGGTCTATGTCAGTCGTACATAGGCATGGCGACGGTGCTGGGCACGTTCCTGTTTGGTCCGCTGGTCTACGTGCTCACACAGCTCGCCTTCCTTGTCATGAACCACTACCAGCAGCTCCTGGAACAGGTGACAACCTCCTCTCTCTCACGCCCTTCACGCCCTTCACGCCCTTCACGCCCTTCACACCCTTCACACCCTTCACGCCCTTCACACCCTTCATGACGTTCAGTTGACTGAAAAGCTTCCTCGACATGAACCACTACCAGCAGCTCCTGCAACAGGTGACGTCACATGACAGGTTCATGACTTGCAGGACTCGCTCGCTCGCATGGCTCGCATGGCTCGCATGGATCGCATGGCTCGCATGGCTCGCATGGCTCGCATGGCTCGCATGATTTTCGTGCCTTTGAGTTGACTCCAAGCCTTTCTCGTTATGAACCACCACCAGCAGCTCCTGCAACAGGTGCCTCCCTCACTCGCATGACCTTCACTGCTTTCGTTGCTTGCAATGCTTTCATATATTAATGAATTTCATTGCTTTTGTGAGTTTCGTGAACCATAACCAGTCTGCCCGCCCACCCTCCTGCTTGCCTGCCTGCCTGCCCGCCCGCCCGCCCGCCCGCCTGCCTGCCCGCCCGCCCACCCGCCCGCCTGCCTGCCTGCCCGCCTGCCAGCCCGCCTGCCTGCCCGCCCGCCCACCCGCCCGCCTGCCTGCCTGCCTGCCTGCCTGCCACATCATCCATCTCTCTTCTCACCACACCACCACCACCCACCTCTTTCTTTCTCCACATGGCACCTCCCCCAGGTGGAGGCGTCATCGCGCAGCATGGCATTAGTGGGTGGCATCTGCGCCCTCTGGACCCTCCTCGCCCTCCTCCGCCTCCTCCTCTCCTGCCGCCCCAAGCCTCCCGTCTTCCCTCGTGCCACCACCACCACCACCACCGCACAGACAGCAGCAGAGAGTGGTGCCGCTGCTGGTGCAGGCACAGCGATAGAAGGGAGTGGAACTGAGGTTATTGGCGCTGAAGCAGCAGGAGCAGGAGGTGTGGCGGAGGGAGGGAGGGGTGGGAGTGAACAGGACCCGTACGAGTTGCACCGTGTGGTGGGACAGATGCTCGTGTGCTGCATTGCACTCTGCTGGGTGAGTGGGGAACTGGGGGGCGGACGTGGGAAGAGATGGTGGAAGAATCAGAAGGAGACCGGTTGGTCAAGCGTGTGTGGGAAAGAGAGGGGGATGGACAGAAAACAGTGTTGCAGGCAAGGGGAGGCCGAGACATCACACCTCAATCCATGCCTCTTTCCCTTGCCACACTTGCTCCCTCCCTTCTGCCCCCTTACTCTCCTGCTCCGTCCTCCTCTCACTCCCACTCCCTCTTCCCCTCCCCTGCTTATACCCACCCCTCCCTTCTATCCCCCCACCTCTCCCCACCTCTTCCTACCGCTCCCTACCCCACCACCAGACCTCGGCCAGCGTCGCATCCCTCCTCTGCCCAGCATCCCTCCCACCGCTCCCCTCCCTCCTGCGCTACCTCTTCCACACCACGGGCCACCTCGCCTCAGCCGTCTTCACCGCCCTCCTCGCTCTCTCGGAGCTGCTCTGCTCTGCGCTCGGCCCTTCCCTTGTGCACCGCCTGCGCTTCTACCTCGTCTTCTCCGGCTGGCTGCTTGCTGCGCTGCCCGTGGTGCTGCCGCTGCTGCTCTCCCCGGGCTGGCCTGATATCCCTGCTCTCTGCCCCACGGACCTGTGAGTGTGAGAGACAGCTGCTTGGGGACGCAACGGAACGCAGTTTTGCAGTTACGCGTGCGTTTTAAATTGTTGTTGTTGTGTGTCTTGTGCTAACGAGGTAGAACTGCTCATGGGATTCATGTTTCTGTTCTTCACTCCCCTGGCATGGCATGGAATGGCATGGCATGACTTGAATGAAACGTCATGGCACGGCATGTGAGTGCAGGATAAGCTGCTGGTACCCCTTTGGCTCGCTGCAGTTCCTCGCTGCGCTCATCGTCTACTCCATCGCTGGTATGTGCTGTGCACCCGCCTTGTTCGTTCCTTCCCATGCTTGCATGGGTAGCAACGGATGGGAGAGCTGCAACAATAGCTAGTGATAGGATTTAATTTGATGTGCTGAGACGGATTGTGGTCCAGCTCATTTTCAACACCTTGACGCAGTATGCTTTTCTCTTTCTTCCTTCTTTCTTCTCCATCCCCACTTTCGTCCTTCCCACCCATCCTCTCCTCCCCCTTCCCCACCCACCCCCCACACACACCCATCCACCAGTGATCATCATCATAACGAGCCTATCACTGCTCATATGGGAGCAGTACGCGGGTCTGCGTGCCTCAGGTCTGCCAATCAACTGGTCCGACCTCCCTCTCTCCTGGCAGCCTCCTCCCAACAAGCACCTCGCCGCCCTTCCCTCTCTGCCTCCCTCCCACACTCTTCTTCACCCCCCCTTTTCTCCTACTCCGCTCACTGCCTTTCCCTCGTCCTCCTCCTCTGCTGCACCTCCTCCTCTCTCGCCTAACACTGCTGCTGCGGCGGCGGCTGCTCCTGCTGTTGCTACTGTGGCCCTGGCTTCTCCTTCCCAAGTGCGCCGTCGCTTTGCTCCCTCCGCCTCCCTCGCCTCGTCACCACCGGTTACGATCGCCACTGCTCTGCTCTCCCCCACGCGCCAAATGGGAGCATCGTTCACGCACGCGGGTGGTGCTAGCGCCTCTCCAGTTGCTGGTTCTCCCCTTCAGAACTGGCACCACCAGCAGCAGCACCAGTCCAACTACAATCCACCTCCTTTGATTTCAGATTCTGCTTTGCCCAACTCACCTAAACAAGCTCTCAGCCCACAGCTTTTGCACCAACAACATCTGCAGCAGCAGCAGCAGCAGCAGCAGCAGCAGATGATATCCATACCCTTCCAACCCCCACCTCCTTCCGACCAAGAAGACCTGGCTCGCCTATTCGCAGCAGCAGCAGGCTTTGGAAGTTTTTCCAGCAAGAGCATCAATACAGCAGCCGCGGCAGCAGCAGCGGCGGCGGCTGCGGCTGCTGGTTCAGTGGGCAGAGATCCCTCCTCCTTTGGTGCCGCATCCGCAACAGCAGCCGCTGCTGCAGCTGCAGCAGCAGGAGCTGCGGGAGCAATGGGAGTTCCTCCTGGCTCTGCTGCTGCTGCAGGTCCTCCTGGCCTGCTGTCCTCAAGTGTGCTTGCAGGCATCGGCATAGCACAGCAGCTTTGGCGGCGGCACTGGCAGCGGCGCTGGCGGTGGCGGCAGCAGACCAAGCAGCAAAGTAGCCAGCCGTCACAACTCGTTCTCCCTTGCCGCCGCCGCTGCTGCTGCTGCCGCGGCTGGGGGTAATTCAGCGGGGCCACACCAACCAACACATGGCGCTGCTGCTGCTGCTGCTGCTGCAGGCATTGCTGCTGGAAGCTTTGGTGTCCCTCTGTCCCTGCCACTCAGTCGGCAGAGCTCGCTTGGAAAGAGGGAGAGGGGCAGGGAGAGGGAAAGAGAGAGGGAGAGGGAGTGGGAGAGGGTTGAGACGCGCAGCATGGGCAGTGGTATGAGTGTGGCAGGGCATGCGGATGGAGAGATGATCCCATCCTTGCTCATGTCTCCGTCCAGGTACGCGGCAGCACTGAATAGGTGGCTTTACTCATTCCTAGCCTGAATAGCAGTTGTCACCTTCGCACGCACACTGCATGCCCCAAGTCCACTCCCATGACACGCAGCAACCATCACCGGTCATGCCCATGCATGCGCTGTCTTCCATGGCAGAGTGAGGTCTTTTAGACGACTCAAAAGCTCCCATCACAAGCACCAAACCCCGTCACTCGAATCACACCCACCCATACGTTGCCCCCCATGGCAGGGTGGTGGCAACAAGGTGGCGGCAGAAGACGGACCTGGACTCGCAGAACGCGTTGCTGCTCTTCTGCTGCTACGCCGTCTTCTCCATGCTCGTCTCCTGCACCATCTCCATCTTCGCCCTCCTCAACGTACGTACTCCCTCACCCCCGAGTCAACAACTCAGAAACAGGTCTGCCTCGTGTTTATGCTTTCTAGTCACCTTGTCTCCTGCACCATCTTCATCTCGTTACTCCTCGACGTTCTCACCTCCCTTCCCTCCCTACTGCCTCGTTTCAGCCTCCCTCTCCCCCTCTCATTTTTGACTCTCTATCCCAACCCCAAACTCCGTCCCAACCTCTGTCCCAACCTCCGTCCCAACCTCTGTCCCAACCTCCGTCCCAACCTCGTCCCAACCCAACCTCCGTCCCCTCCCATTTCCCACGCTTCTTTCCGCATAAAGGCATTGTTGGAACAAACCTGAGTCATTAATTCCCAATTTCACAACTTTCCTCATTCCTTTCTTCCCACTTTCCTCTATCCCAACCCACCACCCTTGGGACCCCCCAACCACCCTTTCCACCCTTTCCACCCCTCATTCCACCCTTTCCACCCTCGTTCCACCCTTTCCACCCCTCAGGACGGGCGGCTGGAGGGGCACTTGGCGCTGCTGCTGCTGTTGATGCACGTGCTGCTGTCCTACAGCCAGGGCGCCGTGCTCTTCCTCGCCTTTGGCATGCACGCGGGGCTTGTGCTGCCGCTCGTGGAAGCTCGGGAATGGTGGCGCAAGCAGCGCCTCTCCTTCCTCGGCGAGGTCTGTCTGCCTTGATCTCTTCTCTTCATCTCCTCCGTTGACTCTCTCTCGCTTCTTTCTCTTCTGCTGTCTCTTCACCTCTCTTTTCTACTTTCCACCTCTGCTCTCTTCTGCTCTCTCTTCACCCCTGCTCATGCACCTTTCCACTGAAACCCATATTCACCTCCATCTTGACGGTCTACCAACACTCTGATCCACATCCCTCTTCTGCTCCGATCCCGTTCCTCTCATCCACCCCTCCCCCACCAGGTGTCTCCCTTCTTTGTGGACGAGTGGCAGTACCTCGTACCAGATGACGACTACCCCATGCCGGGTGCCCCGCATTCAAACAGCATGATGCTTGCTCGAGGCTGGTCCATGAACCCGGCGCAGATGCAGCTCTTCCCCCGGGACTGGGACCTCTACTCCCGGGGATGGGAGGATGCAATGAGTGTGAGGGACGACGGCATGAGTGTGCGTGACTACTACCCTTCGTATCCGATTGATGAGGGGGACGAGGACACTGTGGTGAGCACGGATGCAGGAGGGGATGATCAGACGGACCGTGATGACGCCGAGACTGTGGTGGAGGTCTCAGAAGACTCCGTCTTCTAATGCATGAATTGTATTATGCATTGGCAGAAGTAGTTGATTTGTGTCGCTTGTTGGATCTTACTCTATCAATGAAGCCACATGAATATGCAATGGTTCATCATGTATCCAGACATCAAACCCCATTATGCGCTACTTTCATAATAATTGACAAACTGGTGCGTCGTCAAATCGTTAAACCCTTTTGACTTCTTAATGATTCAAAATCATTCAGCTATGGAGATACCGGTATATGGTGATGATGCACTCTCTAACAGGGAGTGGATCTTCGGGGAAGCGGAAAATACACAACCACCTGCGACTGGTTGATGTGTGACGTGGCTTTCAAACGATTTTCGGTCAATTCGAACTGCGATCCAATTTTCCAAGCACGTGTTTGCAAATGCGATCTTTTCGGGCAGAACCACGCGGCTGCCCGTGTTTAGGGTTGGGGCTCCAAGTGTTTAGGGTTGGGGCTCCCCTAATCGCATGCCATCCAGATGGGGTTTATTTTTTTCTGACCGCTTGCAGACAACGACCCCTCAGCTTCTTCCACTGGGGATCGCATTTGCGAACCGCGCTGGCTAAATTGGATTGCAGCTGAAGTTGTCCCAACGATTTTCGAAGTGTTGCGCTGGTTACTTGGAACGGTTTCGCGAAGAAGGCGGAGCACCCGACAAGAGCAGTCTTCGGCACGGTTCGCTCGTGACCCGCATCAAGCTGGTTGGTTCGCCTCAGATCTCCCCGTTTCGCGCCTTCATTCAGCATATCCCAAACCTGCTTGCGTGGGCCATATTTCGCTCTAGATATCCGGGCCGAGCCGCCGATGTCCCTTTCTTGGCTGCTGCAAGCATCACGGAACAGTCCAACCGAACCAATTCTTCCGACCTTCCAAACCACGCTACCTACAGTCATTGGCTTCTTCCTGACCAATGATAGGACAGATCTCATCTGACTCCTCCTGACAGACCACTTACCTCTCGGGGCCACGATCTCACGGCTCCCCACCAAGCCTCTATTGTACCGCCCTCTTCCTTTCCCGCCCTTTCTTGACTGACGGCAAGGAGCCCGCTTCGGTCGGCTTGGGTCCCCCCAACAAAACGGAGCCATTGACGGAGGTCCCATCCCAGTCCATCGTGACTCCCGGACTGAAGTGTTCCGTTTCGTTTTGCTGGGCTGAGGGGCAAAGCACCGAAGGACCCGCCAAATTCCATTCGAGCGATTGCTAGGTGTGGTAGCACGCGGATTGTACCCCTAAAACACTTTCACTCCGCACCGCTGCCGACGGGATCGCGGGTTGAGACATGCCCTTCTTTGCCTTTCGTCTCTCCCCTCTCTCGTCATCATTTCACTCCTGCTTCTGTAGGTGAGTAGATCTTGGCGAGGCCGCATAATAGCTACGCCGTAGTAGCTACGTGCTGTTAAGCACGCCTTTCGCAGGCACATCAGTCCCGGGTGAGAGATCGACAGATCGACAGGGGGGAGGGGAAGCGAAGGCGCAGCCGAAGAGAAGTTGAAGGAGGAGGAGTAGGAGGAGGAGGAGGCGTCGAATGGCCGAGGCAAGTCGGCCATCCCCTCATGGGGGACTTTTACGGCTGCTGCTCGTGCTGTGCGCCACGGTCGCCGCCAACGTCCTTCTCTCGCACGCAGCCACCACGGAGGAAGGTAAGCGTGCGTGCACAGACTGCAAGTACGTTCCGTCTAGGCGTTTCACAGCTCTTCAGGAGCTGCCAGCGTTTGTATGACCACGCAGCAACGACAGACTAGGAAGGTAAGCTCTTAGAAGAAGCATTCAGAAGAACAGCATTTTACAGAAGCGATCAAGTGTGAAAACGTACGAGTAAAAGATAAAACGTCCCCTAAACATAATAAGGTTTCAGAATACGTCGAGATAACACCGTCACATGCAAGAGACGCTTGCCCCGACTCCCTGAAGCAGCAGGATAGTCGTCCCAGTCCGGGGCATCCGGTTAACGCGAGGCGACGGGCCCCGTTCGGGCCTTTGAGAGACCAGTGCGCGGCCGGGATCGAACGAGGGTTGCGCGTGAATACGAGCAACGTTATACGCGTGAACCCGCTAGCAAAGAGCCCCGTTATACGGGATCCCCGCCTTATGTTGAGATCCCCGCTATGTGTCCCCTGTTCGTTGCGCTCGGCCTTGAACGTCCTCTCAACTCGCTAGCTCAACGTGTTTACGCCATGCTTTCTGCCGAGTCGCACGCAAGCTCGGATGCGCTGCTGCATTCCGCGACGCGCGGTATTCCTAAGCGGCTATATTATCTTTTTTCGCAAAGAAAACGTACTCCTGGCTCGTGTATCGTTGACCCGTAGCTAGCCATGCCGTCCGTAGTTCGACTAGCGAATCGACTTATGAACAGGCCGCGGCAGGGTATAGCAACCCCAAGTGATACACCAAGTGCTTGCTTGGGTCTGGCCAGGCGTGGCAAACCGTGGCGCGGCTCGATGGCTCATATGTATGTGTTTCCGAAAAGATGTGTGAGCACGAGCCGACGCACGGCTCCTGCGGTGAATAAACAGTGAATGTGGGGCGCATAAACGATTTGTTTGAGGCACAGCTTCTCGCACCCATGGTGGCGAGTTCCTGACCTCCCTCCTCCCTCTCACGCATCCCTACCGATCTCCCCTTCCACACGAGCGGGATCCCATTTCGTTCTTATCCTGGCTTCCCCTCCCTGTGCTCGTCCTTATCGCCTTCTCCTCGTATGCTGTGCGCTGCTCCGCGCGCGCGCGCGCTGCGTGCGTGTGTGTTCCCCACATCCTCCCGCCCCTCCCCTCGCGTTGCGTGGTGCTTCCTTGCGGCGCGCAGTGGCGGCGCTGAACAAGATGAAGGATACCCTGGGCCCCGCGAACCTGTTCGTGGGGTGGGTGGGCGATCCGTGCACCGGCATGTGGCTCGGCGTTATCTGCGACGCGCCGCAACACGTCATCGGCATGTAAGTGGCGACATGTCAGCACGTAAGCTCAAAAGCAGCGACACGTCACTATAGGGTTCACCGATGCACGCACAATGCGACGCATCCTGTAGCCTGTTACGCGTGCTCTCTCCCCCTCCGTCTCCCCTCTTTCTTCCTCTCACTTCTCTCCCCCTATCTCCCTCTCCCTAGTTCATTCTCCCTCCCTCTCCCTCCCTCACTCCCTCTCCCTCCCCCACTCTCCCGCTCTCATCAGCAACTTCGAGTCGCTCAACGTGGACGGCACGCTCGCCGATGACGTCAGCCGCCTAACGTCACTTCAAATCCTGTACGTTCGTTTGACCACCCCTGACCGATCTGACGGTATCCTGGGCTAGGTTAACCAGGAATCCTACTGCTCCGTCCCCTCCCGCCTATTGAGCCCCCCACCTCGTGACCCTCTACCCATGTGTTTCGTTACTCGCTTCTCTTCTTCCCCGCACCCTCTCGCGCCCACCTCTCCCGCCATCTCTCGTCTCTCCCCGCTCCGTTTCCCCCTCCTTGCTTTTGCGACTCCTCATTCCGTGACTAGCAGCTGCTAGCCTGCTTGTGCTTGTCTCTGTGCGCGTGTGTCCCTTTGCGCGTCCCCGTGCGTGTCCCTCCGACTGACCCTCTGCTTGTCCCTCCGCGCGTGCGCGCGCGCAGCAACCTGGCGAGCAACCAGTTCACGGGGAAGCTGCCCAAGGCCATCAGCACGCTCACCAACCTGCAGCACCTGTACGCGCACTTTCCCCTTGCGCATTGCGCTGAGGGCAGGAAAGAGTGGCGAGGGAGTGGGGAAGCGGGGGGGCGGTGGTGTTCGGGGGAGGGTGGTGTGGGTGGGCGGGGGCGGTGGGGAACAAGGGGAAATCGAGAAAGGGAGTGGTTTGGGACAGGGGAGGGATGGTGAAGGGAGGGCGGGAATGGAGGGTGGGTGCGTGGAGCTGGCTCACCTTCGTTCCCCACGTCCCCTTCTTTCCCCACGTCTCCTTCGTTCCCCACGCATTATGCATGCCTTGCTCCTTCGCGTCCGACCGTCGCCTCTCTTCCTTTATCTCGCTATTCATAATTTACACGTCCCCACGCATAATGCATGACTCGCTCTCATGTGTGTCCGCCACCTGTCCACATGTCCGTGTCCGCTTGTCCGTGCGCGTGCGCGTGTGGCATGGACCGCAGCGATGTGAGCAACAATAAGTTCGAGGGGAAGCTTCCTGACGCCTTCAGCCAACTCACCGCCCTGCGACACCTGTCAGTCCCGCCACCAGCCTCCTCTCCCTCCGACAGCCAGCCACCTGTCTCCTCTTACTCCCTCTCCGCTATGTCTGCTATCTTGTGACCTACATTGCCTGTTCAGAATCCCTTTTCACACTCACTCTCTCTCATTCAAACCCTCTTCCTTTCCCGCGCTCTTCTCTCGGTATCTTCCACCGCACATCCCCCGCCTCCCCTCCCTGCATCTTCTGCGTATCTGTGTGTTGCTGCGTGCAGCGACGCGAGTCAGAACACGTTCACCAGCGAGCTCCCCGCGTCCCTCAGCGCGCTCTCGAGCGTCACGTACATGTGAGTCAGATAGATAGGAGGTGTGGAAAAAGGAAGTGCGGGAAAAGGGAGTGAGGGAAAAGGGAGTGAGGGAAAAGGAAGTGAGGGAAAAGGAAGTGAGGGAAAAGGAAGTGTGTGAAAGTCGCTCTTTGAGTCGACTCGAAAAGCTCCCCGCGTCTCTCAGCGCGCTCTCGAGTGTACATGTGAGTCACGTAGATGAAACGCGGCGCGGTACGTGTGTGAGAGAGAGATGAAACGCTGTGGCGTACATGTGAGAAGCATGAAACGCGGTGCGGTACCCATGGGGAAAAAAATGAAACGCGGTCCAGCACATGTCAGCGCCAAAAACACATGGTGCGCCCATAGAGTAACAAAGAATCACAGCCTTTTCCCCGACCTCTGTCCCCCCTGCCTCCTCTCGCGCCTCTCCCCCTCTTCCCTCCCCCGTCCCGCTCCCCTCTCCCCTTCCTGCTCCGCTTCCCCCATGCGCCCACCTTCCCCCCCCCCCCTTCCTCCGAGAGCAGCAACCTGGCGAACAACCAGATAACGGGGTCGCTGCCAGACAGCCTCACGGGCCTCAGCGAACTCACCTACCTGTACGCCCATTCCCCTCGCGCCAATGGCCCCATGCCCCTCGTATTCCTCATGCCCCTTGTCGCCCATGCCCCCCTCGACCCCCTTACCCTTGCTCCCTCGTGCATCCCGGCCCCATGAAATGCCGTACCAGTCTGCCGTAAAATCTTCGCCCGTCTTCCTCCCTATTCCACTCCACCTCACCCTTTCCCCCCTCTCCCTCCGCTTCTCGCCTCTGCTTCAGCTTCTGATTAGAATGCCTTTCTCCCCTTGTTCCCGCTTCCCCTCTCCGTTCTCTTTTCCATCTCCCCCTCCCCATCCCCATCCTCATCACCTTCTTCTTTCCGCATTCCCCTTTCCTTCTCCCTATTCCCCTTCCTCATCCTTCCCCATCCCCATCCGCGCAGCTCAGTGGCGGACAACAGCATGTCAGGCACGCTACCGGCATCCCTGGGATCCCTGGCCAAGCTGTCCAAGCTCGACCTCTCCAACAACGCATTCACGGGGCCCGTCCCCTCCACCTACTCCGCCATCCCCGACCTCATGTACCTTCCCCCAACCCCGCCCTCCCCCCCCCCCCCCCCCGCTCTCGCCCTCGCGCTCGCACTTGGCCTCGCCCTTGCCCTCGTCCTCTCCCCCGCCCCTTCGCTCGCGCTCACTCACAAATTCGCGCTCACGCACTGGCATTCACACTCACGCGGGCGGTTGCAATGCTGCTGTTGCCCTCGTTGTCTCTTGGGCTGTGAGGCCCCTCGATTCCCATCTGGTTCCCTCCTTGTCCATAGCCTCACCTCTCCTCCTCCTCGTTGCTTTCCACCTCCCTCTCTCCCTCCTTTACCAAACTACTCATGCTTCGCATTCCCTTTCCCCCCCCACACCCCGCACTCCCCTCCCCACCCGCCTCCCCCTTCCCCCAGCACCACGGGCACGAGCATTGACGGCGCAGCAGCAGGCGCGCCAGCATCAGCTGGCGCACCAACAGGGGTAGTCGACGCCCCGCCCGCGCCCGCCCCTGCCCCCATCGCCAACGCGCCCGCGCCCGCCTCCGCATCCCTCCCCGCGCCTCCGCCTGCACCTCCGTCTCTCCCCGCGCCTCCGCCCGCCCCCGCGTCCGTCCCCGCCCCCGTACCCGCACCCGCCCCCGCGTCCTTACCTGTGGATGCCCCAGCGCCCGCCCCCGCGTCCCTTCTTGCGCCCGCCTCATCACCCGCCCCTTCCGCTCTGTTCGGATCCGTGCCCGCGCCCTCCCCCCTCATGGGCTCCCCCGTTCCCGCCCCTTCTCCGTCCCCCTCCGCTGCCCCCCCTTCCACGAGCGCACCCACACCCGCACCCGCAATACCCGCCCCTGTTGCCCGCCCGCCAAAGCACAAATCCCCCCCTCCGCCCAAGGCCTCCCCTCCGCCCCCGTCCCCCCCGCCTCCGTCCCCTTCCCCTCCACCCCCCGAAGTCTCCCCGCCTCCGCCTCCCCCTCCGCCTCCTTCCGCGCCGGTGGCGTGCGGGGGATGCGCGGAGGGGCAGGTGGGGTGGGCGGAGGGGTCGGAGGGCGGGGGGCAGTGCGCGTGTGTGTATCCGCTGCTGTTCACGCTGCGCCTGGGCATGGAGTACAGCCAGTTCACCGCGGAGAAACAGCTCGTGAGTGCCCCGTGCCCTTGCCCTTGCGCTTGCACTTGCTGTTGCCCTTGCCCCTCGTGTCCGTGTGTTGAGGCGTCCCAAACCGCGACTGGGCATGGAGTACAGCCAGTTCACTGCGGAGAAACAGCTCGTGAGTGCCCTCGCCCTTGCCCTTGGGCCTGCCTTCGCCCTTTGCGTTGCCCATTCCCCCGTTTCTCATTCCCTTGCCCCTGCCCCTGCCAATTCCCTCGTGTGCGCTCGTTTCTCTCACTTCCTCCTACCCATCTACCCATCTCCCCCATCCTCCACATCTCCCCCATCTCTCCCATCTTATCATCTCCCTATCTCCCGACCTTTCCCCCACCTTCTAACACCTTCCCCACATCGTCCCCCACCCTACCCCCCACCTCCTTCCCCTTCTCCCCGCCAGTCCCTGGAGCAGCAGCTGGAGGCAGGCTTCTCCCTGCAACCCGGGCAGGTGCGCACGCAGTCAACGCGCGCGGGCAGCGTGGTGGCGGACATGGCAGTGGGGCCAGTCTCCCCCGCCACGATGCTGGACCAGCCCACGGTGGACCGCGTCACGGGCATTCTCTACGGCACCAACGGCAGCATTAGTCTGAGTGGCTTTGGGAGTGTGACGGTGGTGCAGCTCGTGCCACCCAACCAGATCGCCCGCAACGACACTGGTGGTGAGTGCCCTCCGGGGTGGGCTTTGTGTGTGTGTGTGTGTGTGTGTGTGTGTGTGTGTGTCTGTGTGTGTGTGTGTGTGTGAGAGAGAGAGTGAAGCCTTGCGCACGTGGATGCATGTGTGTGTGTGTGCAAGTGTTCCCTCCCCCCTCTTTCTTCCTCTCTCCTTGTCCCTCCACTCTCCTCCCTAACCGTCGCCCGTCTCGTTCCCCCCATCCCTCCATTTCCTATTTCCCCCATCCCTGGTCCATCGGTGTTGTGGTGGCGGGCTTTATTGTGGCCTTCTGTGTGTCCCTCTCTCGCCCCTCTCTCGCCCCTCTTCTCGCCCCTCTTCTCGCCCCTCTTCTCGCCCCTCTCCTCCTTGTAGTTTCACTCACTTCTCCCACCGTCCCTTCTCTTTTCCCCATTTCCCCCGCATCCCCCAACCGCGTCCCCCCATCCCTCCATCCCCCCGTCTTCTTTTTTTCCCATCTTCTCCTTCCCACCCCCCAGCCCCCCCGCCATCACCCCCACCAGCGCCAGCACCTGCCTCCTCGTCAGGCGGGTGGTCATGGCGGCCATAATCGGCGTGGCCGTGGCAGGCTTTGTGGTGGCCGTGTGTGTGGCTGTGCCGCTCTCTTTGCCAATTCACTCTCTTGTCTCACCGCCCTCTTTTTTTCCCCCATTCCCCCATCCCCCAACCCCCTCCCACATCCCCCCATCCCCCCAACTCCCCCCCCAGCCCCCCCACCATCTCCGCCACCAGCGCCAGCACCCGCCTCGTCCTCAGGAGGGTGGTCCATGGCGGCCATAATCGGCGTGGCCGTGGCAGGCTTTGTGGTGGCGGTGCTGCTGGTGGTGGCGCTCGTGGTGCTGTGCATGCGCTGCCGGCCCAGCCGCAAGGACGCGTTTCAAGACGACCTTGCTGACGACGCCGCCCGCCCCGCCTTCCAATGTGAGTGGCAGGGAGGGTTGGAGCCAGCGGCGCTTGGTGGGAGGGAAGGAGAGCGAATGAGGAGGGGTGGGGGTTGCTGGTGAGATGCGACGGAGGGAGGGAGGGGGTGAGGGATTGAGGGATGGTTTGTGAGTGGACTCAAAAACTGCGCAAGTGCTTCATACCCAACCACAGGCATGCTTGCTAAGACGAAGAAGCGAGGGTAGGGAGGAGAAGGGGTGGGAGGGAGGACTGTGAGAAAGACGAGGACATGGGGGTGAGAGCAGTACTTCCAGATATGATATGATGAGGGGAGGGTAGTTGCTAGACCAGATTGTGCTGCTAGATATGATGAGCGAGGGTAGTTGGCGATTACCCTGCCATGCCTTGTCCCCTCTCTCCCCACGCCCTTTCACTCTCCCCTCCTCCGCTCCACCCCAATCCCCTCACCCCTACCCCTCCAGCATGAGCAAGCAGCTCCTCGACCATTTTTGCAGCAAACAAATTCTGAAATTTCTCAAACGCCCCCGCTTACCTTCCCTCACCTCCTCTCCCGCATTTTCCCCTCTCTCCCTCACCAGCATGGGCGAACGGGTCGTCAGCCAAGGCGAATGGCGGCGCCTCCTCGCGCAAGTCCCAAGGCGTGCCGCCCATAAGCCTAGCGGAGCTGCAGATGGCCACGGACGACTTCGCCCCGGACCGCAGGCTCGGCACCGACCCTCTGGGCACGACCTATGTCGGCACCATGCCGGACGGAGAGGAGGTGGCTGTGAAGAAGATTGAGCCGTCTGTAGTGGAGGGGCAGTCGGATGAGGATTTTGTGGCGGTGGCGGCTAATATGGCGCGGTTGAGGCACGCGCATGTGGTGCAGCTGCAGGGGTATTGCGTGGACTATGGGGAGAGGATCCTGGTGTTCCAGCACTGTGCTGGAGGGAGTTTGTATGATCACCTGCATCGGAATGACGATGATAGCTCGCAGCTGCTGTCGTGGGAGGATCGCGTAGATATTGCGCTGGATGCTGCTGAGGCGCTCGTGTGAGTGTGCTGGGGGGCTGGGAGGGGTGAGAAGAGGGGTGGTGAGGGGTGAGGAGGGGTGACACGGGACTGTGAGGGGAGAAGGGATGATCTCGTGGATATTGCGCTGGATGCTGCTGAGGCGCTCGTGTGAGTGTGCTGGGGATGGGAGGGTGTGGGAGTGAAGAGGGGTAGGAAGGGGTTAGGAGGAGAGAGGGTTGTGCGTGGAGAGGAATTGGATGAAGTAGAGTGATTTGGAAGTCAGGCACGAAAGTATCGCCTGTCATCCGGAACACGAGCATCTCCCACCGCATACACTCTCTCTTCCCAATACGTCCCCATCACCCTCTCCCCCCTTCAGCACCAGTCCAATAAGCTAACACCACACCCCCCTCGCTCCCCCTCCACAACCCCCCCCCCAAACACACGGACGGCGGTGCAACCCGGCAGGTACCTGCATGAGGAGTGCATGCCGCCCATGGTGCACCGCAGCATCTCCTCGCGCAACGTGCTGCTTGACTCGTCGCTGCGCGCGCGCGTCGCCGGAGCAGGCCTCTCCTTCCTCAACCCCGTCGGCACCGACGAGAAGGTACACTTGGCACTGCCCCGTCCTGCCCCGTCCTGCCCCGTCCCGTCTCGCCCCGTGCTTGGTTGTACTGAAACTTTTCCAGCCCCTGTGTCTAGCGCATGGATCTTCCCTCATTCGCTCCCTCGTGCCCTCACACTTTTCTGGCAACCATCAGCTCCGTCACTCGAATGGTCCTATTCTGTCTCTTCCCCCATTTTCCACCCCTGCCCTGCTCACTCTCTCCCTCTCTCCATCTCTCCCACTCTTGATCTCTGCCTCTGCTCCCCTGCCTTGCAACAGTCCCTGTCGGACCAGCTGGTGGGGGGCTTCACATACAACGCGCCCGAGTACGCCATGTCAGGCATCTAAACGACCAAGAGCGACCTTTTTTGTCTGCAACTGAGCCTTCTTCTAACCACTCCCCCTCCCACCCCCACTGCACCTCCCTGTCGCTCCTTCCCTCAGTCGCTGTCGGACCAGCTGGTGGGCGGCTTTGCATACAACGCTCCCGAGTACGCCATGTCAGGCATCTACACGGCCAAGAGTGACGTCTACAGCTTTGGTGTTGTGCTGCTCGAGCTCCTCACAGGCCGCAAGCCTGTCGACCCGTACGTGTCTGCCGCCCTCTGGAGTGTTATGATAGCTGTGTGGCATGGGATGGTTTGGATGTGCATGGTGGCGTGTGGGATGAGTCTATGGCTTGATGCCTCTGTTGTCATGACTGTATTTTCTGTGTTAAACCAACATGCAGCAGAACCCAAAACCCAATTTTAATTCCAAATGTGTAGGTTTCCTGTGGCATCTGATCCCCTTTCGCCTAACTTCCTTTACCCTCTGCCACCCCTCCGAACCACGATGTGACGGAGCTGGTAGAGCACATGGTGGATGCACTCACCACTCTCGTCACTCTCCACACCCGTCCGCCACGTTCCCCTCCCCCAGGTCGAAGCCCAAGGCGGAGTCATCACTGGTGCGGTGGGCGGCGCCGCTGCTGCACGATGTGACGGAGCTGGAGGCCATGCTGGACCAGCACATCTCTGGCCCGCTGCCGGACGTCTCCAAGCTCACCAAGTTCGCAGAAGTCATCACCCGCTGCATCCAGGTCTGTGCCTTCTCTCTCGTAAACAAGTGTTTGGATGCAAGCTCGTTCTGTTAAACGTTGCTCTTGTCCCTTGGCCTCATCTCTACCTCTCTGTCGACTCACCACGATCGATCCCTTCTGCTCCCTGTTTTAATTTCCCTGTTCTCTCCCAGCCCGAGCCGGAGTACCGGCCCTTGATGTCGAAGGTGGTGAACGATTTAAACAAGATCAGGGGGCCACGTAGAGATGATGCCTCCGATGCATACTGAAAGTGGTTGAACTGAAGGTGGCTGAACTGGACTAGAAATGAAGAGATGAAGTGCCTCACGTCTCCTTTATCCCTGCTTGGACGAGATCCATCCGGTTTCTCGTCAATGCTCATTAAATTGACAAGCACCAGCAGGAACATTGTCAGAATGTCTTGCCTCTTATTTAGGCGAAAGGGTTATTTAGTGCCAGTCCTAATACTTGGAGCTTGGGAGATTAGTAGCCTGTTTTAGGCAATGTAGCATGGTTTTTGAAAATATTAGCAATGAAGAGCCTTGTGTTTGGTTGCATATGAGATTGATTATGTAATGAAGAGCCTTTGTGCGGACAGTGAAGTTCAGAAGATAGCTCACAGCCTCGGGCTTGTTCCACGGGTTTTTTGCGGGGATATTCCATCCATTACTGTATGGAAACTTCACAAGCTGCAGATCAGGTTTCCTCCTGACACACGACAACCGCATCCCAATGCAACCTCGGGCCAATCAGCCTCGCGGGCGCCAAATGCTCTCAGATTGTATTCCAACGCAGGGACACCATGCGAAGTTGGGACAATTTCCGTGTTGCATGGCTATTTCTCCTAGTTCAACGTGACCTACAAACGATGCTCTGAAAGTTGCAATTATAAAATAAACACACGAATTTCTTAGCAATGTCAGTACACCGCTCGTCTCAAGTGTCAGTCAGTTGAGTAAGTGCGGCTGAGTGAGTTCATCTGACTCGCATACTCCGCTCGTCACCCGACACATCGAGACTAGCTACTTCTGACGCAAGATTGGGCATGAGATGTTTTCCAGCCTTTCAAACTACGGGGTAACATCTGACGTAGACTTCCATTCGAAAGCAAATAAAAAAATTAAAAAAAAAAACAACCAGGTGTCCCTACTTCGGATGGTGTCCCTACGTAGGAATACAATCTTACAGCAAAGCAACCACCGACTTGATTGGTGGACAAGGAGTGGCGGGCGACTAGTGTCACGAGTCACGACCTTGAGACCTACGAGCGATGCTTGGCGAACGTCATGGCGATAACCAAAGCATTGCAAAGCAATCTTCGAGGGATCTCACGCGATTTGCTGACAGGTTCGCCGGTTCGCCCGAGTCGCTTGCTCGCTTCCACAAAGCGCCCCATTTCGCAGACGACCACAGCTTTCTTGGGAATGTCTCGTTGCTGATCAGCTCAACCGTTGATCAACCTCCCTCCCTTTCATCTGCGCGCCTCCTCGCCACCGCAACCAGCTTGCTCACACCACCCCAACCCAACCCATGCAACTCAGGAAGGACCAGGCAGAATGAAAACAGACAAATGAGGTAACCGCTCATAATTGGCTCCAGCCCACCACAGTTTTTTCAGGACGCGCGGTGTTTTTTTATACTTGTTTGTTCCGATTTCACACTTTTTTCAACCGTTGTTTCAAGTCCCATGGCGGCCGGCAAGAAAACCCTCGAGCACGTCATCCAAAAAAACGTCGTCCTCCAATCCAAAACCCGTGCCATGGAGACGCGTTTTTGCGACCATTGTGGTGGTGGTTGTGTTCTTCTACGCGCCGTTGATTGCAATCAGTCGTCAGATTGTCTCGGAAGGCGAGTTCTCCCGCGACCGGCGGCCACTACGCCGGTCGACCAGTTTAGTGAAGAGCGGGCCATTGTCCACGTCACGAAGCTGGCGGGTGATATCGGCGACCGACAGGTGAGAGGCAGCAAGACTCAACTATCCGCATCAGTTGTAGTGGATGGCAATTTTTCTAAGAATCTCTGGTGGAGAGAGGAGAGCACTTTGTGGCACGTTCCCATGAGGGCAATTTCGGCGTCACGATAGACATGTAATATCCTGAGTCAAGCTTCGAGTGAGTCTTCGAAATTTTAAGCGTCTGACTTCGGAGTTTAACGACTTTGTTTGTGTAATTGCAAAAAAAAAAAAA